CACATCCCCCGGTACCGATCCTGCCCTCCCCGATACTGCCCTACACATCCCCCGGTACCGATCCTGCCCTCCCCGATACTGCCCTACACATCCCCCGGTACCGATCCTGCTCTCCGCCGGTCCCGTTCCGTTCTCCCCAGTCCAAATCCCACCACCCAGAACTGATCCCACTCCCTGATATTTCTCCTGCCCCATCCGGTCCCTCCCGGTATTCCCAGTCCGATCCTCGTTCCCCACCCGCTCCCCTCTGGTGCCCCCAGCCCGGTTCCTGCCACCCCTCGGTCCCTTCTGGTATTCCCAGGTACCAATCCCGGCCCCCTGATACTCCCAGGACACAAAATTCCACATCCTCCAGCACCGATCCATCCCTTCGGTGCCATCCCGTGTCCCCAGCACCAACCCCACACCCCCACATTACCCCGGGTCCCGCTCTTGCTCCCCAAATTCCCACCCCACATCCCAGCTCCTGCAGTCCCCGCGTTTTCCAACCCCAAATCCCCCGGTCCGGGACTCCCGATCCTGAATCCCTGGTTCTTTACCCCTTATCCTGCACCCCAGGGACCGAATGAGCACCCCAGGAACTGGAAAAACACCCTGGGAATGGTGGGCAAGGGGCTCAGGAGCGGGATGAGCACCCCAAAAGTGGGACCAGCACCCCAGGAGTGGGATGAGCACCCCAAAAGTGGTATGAGCACCCCAGGATCAGGATGAGCACCCCAAAAGCTGAGCAAGCACCCCAGGAGTGGGATGAGCACCCCAAAAGTGGTTCGAGCACCCCAGGATCAGGATGAGCACCTCAGGGAGGGTGGGCGAGCAGCCCGGGATGGGGATGAGCTGGGTCAGCCCCCCAGTGGGGAGCAGGGTGAGCCCCCCAGGGCGATCCGAGGGTGTCCGAGGATGCCAAGGCGCAGACACAGCCCCGTCCCCTCGCAGTGTCCCTGCCTGGGACGTTCCAGCCTGGGAATGCTGCAGTGGGAATGGGGTTGAGAGGATCTGGCTCATCCCATGCCGCTCCTACAAACCCATCCCCATCCTCTCACAGCACTCCCAGAGATTGTGGTAACTTCATTTTTTAACATTTTAAGTGTTTTAAGTGTTCCCTGTGTCCGATGAGCTGCACAGGGACACACTGGGTGACACCGGCATCCAGGCTCTGCTCCCTCCCCCAAATCCTCTTTCCCTTCACTTTTGGGGCTCCCCTGCATCCAGGGCCTGGCTCGTTCCCACCAGGAATGACGGAGTCTCCTTCACCCGTTATCTCTGCCGTTGTTTTCCTCCCCCATCAGGATCATCCCAGGATGTTTTCCTCCTTCTCCCTTATTGCAAAACCCACATCCAGCAAAACTTTCCTCCTCAAAGCAGATAAATAAACCCCGGAAAACGGGGCTGACTCCGCGTCCCCGCTCTGCCCCCGGCCCTCACGTCACATCCCAGGGATGGGAATTTGGGGAGCAACCTCTGGAACCAACTCCAGCCCCGAGCCGGTCTCCCAAGAAAACAAACAAGCGAGGCTCTGGAATACTTTTTGTTTTCATCCTGGGAGGATGTTTGCGGGCTGAGTCCCTGGATGATGTAAATCCATGATCTCAGGATCCAGCCATTGGTTTCCACCCTGAGATCGCCCCTTTCTCACGGAGCGCTCTGGGGAGCCGAGGCTCTCCGAGGAGGCTTTTCCCAGCCCGGCTTTCCCACGCCGGGCTCGGCTCCCAGGATCTGGGATCCGGCTCCCTCTCAACCGTGCTGGTGGCCCTGGAGGTCACCGGCCACCGGCATTCCAACCTGGAAGAGGAGCTGAGCATCCCACCCAGCCTGAGCATCAGTTTGGGAATGTCCTTATCCCAGGAGCCCTGGGTGGATGTCACCCGGCACGGGCACACGGATTCCAGTGCTCCCACCTCGGCCTGCCCACCCCGCAGGGCATCCTGGAGCAGCAGGTGGGCAATGCCGAGGCCTGGCACTGGCACAGCCGTGAGGCTGGGGGACACTGGGAGCTGCCAGGAGCGTTCCTGGATCCCATCTTCAGCTCTCTGTGGCTTCCATCCCCAAAACCTCCACAGCAAAGAGCAGCCCAGGGTGTTCCCAGGATCTTTTCCCCCACGGAACTGGGACCAGCGGCCCCTCGGCGACCCCTGTGCAGTGAGTGACTGGCACTGGATTGTCCCCTGTGGCCACAGTGGCACCAGCCAGGGTGGCTGGAGGGTGGCACCTCCCCTTCCCAGGGGTGGGATCCCCCCCAATCCCAGCACCTCCCCTTCCCGGGGGTGGGATCCCCCAATCCCAGCACCTCCCCTTCCCAGGGGTGGGATCCCCCTCTCCCAGCACCTTCCCGGGGATGGGATCCCCCAATCCCAGCATCTACTGGGGGTTTTACTCTGGTTTCCCCTGCCAGGACCCCCGAGGTCCCCACTGTGCCGCAAACCTCTGGAAATTGGGATACTGGAATTGTTCCTGGGGGTTCTGCCAACTTTCTGTCGCCTCCCCCATCTGCTCTGGCCTTCAGGAGGAGGCTGAGGGGGTCTGGGGGTCAGGGAGGGTTTGGGAGTGGACACCCCAGAGCTGCAGGAGGTCTTGGATGGATGTCCCACATCCCAGCCAGCTGCAGCTGCAATTTCCTGGCAGGAGCAGCTTCCCTGGTGCCAGGAGTGGGGAAAGGGGCTGGATCCAGGTGTGGGGGCTGGTGGTCCCCATTTTGGGGCTGGCATGAGGCCGCTGTGGGACTGGTGGGCTCCCATTCCTGGGGGATTGGATGGGCTGCTCCATGTTCCTCCTGTCAGCTCCAGGCCAATGTCCTGGTCCCGATAACTCCTGGTCCTAATAATGCCAGAATCCCATCCTAATAAAGCCTGATCCTACTAAAATCCTGCTCCTTGTAACTCCTGATCCATATAGTGCCAGCATCTCAGGCCTAATAAAGTCTGATCCCAGTAACACCTGATCCCAGTAACACCAGTATCCTAGTCCTAACACCCCCTGACCCTAATAACACCAACATCCTGATCCTAATAATTCCTGATCCTAATACTACCAGCATTCTGCTCCTAATAACACCTGAGCTTAATAAAGCCCGAACCCAGCAGCAGCTCCTTCATCCCAAAAATCCTAATAACTCCCAGTTCTTGCAATGCCTGATCCTGATAACTCCTGATCCCAACAGCATCCCTGTCCTAAATCATCCCAGTGCTAATGATCCCTGTCCTTGGGCAGCGGCTGGTGGCCGTGGCTGCTTTCGGCACAGCCTGGCTCCAGGAATAGCTCCCAGACCTGATTCCTGCCCTTCTCCTTTATTCCAGCCTGGCAGAGGACAGACCCATTTTTCAGGCCAGCCTGGCTCTGGCAGCAGGACGGGGCAGCTCAGGTCAGGCAGCCACGCTCTGGGGAGGCTCTCCCGTGAGCCCCCAGGCTGTGGCTTCGACAGAAATTCCCCCAAAAATCAAGCTCGGAGCCCCTCAAGGCATTTTTAAGGCAGGGGGAAGGCGGGAGCTGGCGGGAGCGAGGAACTGGAACGGAGAATTGTGTTTTCTTTAAATGTCATGTTTTTTTAAGCTCATTTTTGCACTTGGGTTTTGGCGAAGCTGAGAAGACTTAAGTGACAAACCAGCTGTCCCCCCGCGCAGCGCAGACACCCCCGCCCCGCCCCCGGCCCCGCGCCTGCGGCCCCTCCAGCGCCGACCCCCTGACCCCTCCGAGTCCCCCGCACCCCAAAATCGGGGTGGGCGGCGCGGGGGCGGTCGCGGAGGAGTCGCCGATGCTCCCAGCGAGGCTGTTGGGGATGCTGCAAGGCAAAGCTGGTGCTGTGAGGGTGCTGCCGGGTGGGCGGGGGTCCCGCAGCCCCCCTGCCCACCCCGCGGGCTCTAAGCCCAGTAAACAGGGAGGAGGCTGCAGAGGATGCTCGCTGTGGTGCCCAGGAGGGAGCGGTCAGCCAGGGGCATGGAGATCTTGTCCTCAGCCTGGACAGGGACATTCTTCATCATCATCATAATCATCATCATCATCACCATCATCATCATCATCATCATCATTCCTCATCGCGGGGGACCCTGAGCCCCCCACGCGCCCCCTGCCCCAGCCGGGTCCTCACCTGCCGGCGCTGGAAGGTCTCGACCACGGTGTCCAGCCCCGGGATGTTGTCCTTGTCCACGCGGGTCACGAAGCAGGCGCGGTGCAGCCGGGGTCTGTAGCTCACCAGCAGCTGTTGGAAGCAAAACCCTGGTCAGCTCCATCTCATCTCCCCCTCCCCGTGTTCCCCAGAGACCCCCCACTCACATTCCTGTAATCATAGACGACAGTGGCCGCGTTCCCGTCCCCGCTGTCCAGGTAGAAAGTGGCCGCGTCCTCTTCCCAGACTGTCCCAGTCCACACCCCGCTCCGCAGGACCTGGGAGAGGACGAGGGGGGATCTCAGAGGCTCCGACAGCCCCTTCCCCCGGGCATCGGGGGGGTCCTTCTGCTGGCACTGGGGGACCTCACTCACGGTGTCGGCGTGGCGCTGGTCAATGCTCAGCCGCATCAGCAGGGCGCCGGCGATGATGAGCACCAGCAGGACCACCACGACCACCGCGATGAGCAGGCAGCGCAGGCGGCCGCAGCCGCAGCTCAGGAGCTTGCGGGGCAGGGAACAGAGCAGCCGAGGGACGAAGCACAGGGACTTCTTAAGGCAGCCGGAGCAGCTGGTGCAGCCGGCACAGCCGGGACACTTGGGACACTTGGGACACTGGCAGCACTTGGGCAGGCAGCAGCATTTGGCGCAGCACCAGCTGCATTTGGTGCAGCATTTGGCGCAGCACGTGGCGCAGGGCAAGCAGCAGCCTGGGCAGCAGCAGCCATTCCCCGAGTCCTGGGGGTGCGGGAAAGCGGGGGGAGATGCCGTCAGAGGGGTGGAGGTGGGAGCTGGGGGATGCAGGAGGGGTTGGGGGTCTCATCCTGCTGCCCCCCGGCATCCCGCTGCCCCCAGACACTGGGAATGCAGCATCCCATGGCCCAAACCCCCATCCCGGGCGCTGGTGCCTCGCTGGGATAAACTGGGCAAAGCCCTGTGCCTCGCTGGCTGCAGGGACACCCCGGTGTGGCAGGGACTCACCTCCTCTTCAAGCATCACCTGCTTCATGCTGCTCTCCATGGCTGCTGCCTCCTCCCATTCCCAGCCCAGCCTGGCCACCGGGACTGGGAATTTTATACTGGGGCACTGGGGTGGGGACAGGAGCGGCCCCTGTGAAGGTTTGGTGGCCCCAGGGTGCAGTCGGGCTCTGGCATGTGACCCACTCCACCCGTGTTTGCTGAGCGCCCACTCCCAGCTGGATCCCCCTGGGAACCTGCTGCTCGAGGAGCTCCGAGGGCACTGGGTCAAGGACCCTTGTCCCCAGGCTTGGGGACTTCTCTGCTGCCCAGGAGCGAGGTGGCAGGGCCAAAGCAAACCCTCCAGGGTGGAGCATCTGGCCGTGGTGAGACCTGGCTCATGTCCCTTCGCCAGCTCGGGCACCTGGAGCTGCTTGATGTGGCAAGGAACAAACAGGACATTCAAGATTTCCTGTAATCCGCAGAGATGGGGTGGGAATGGGGTGGGGAAGTGTCCCTGACCCTCATTCTGGGTCCCGAGGCCGCTCGGACACCACTGCTTGTGGTTTGGGGCTGGCAGAGGTGCCCACAGTGTGGATTTTTTTGGGGTGAGGGGGTCCCAGCTCTGACCTGTCCCCCTCAGGTGACAGGGGCACACTGCTGGGCCTTGGTTTTGCCCATCCACAAGCCCCTTCTGCAACTGGGACCCCCCGGGCATACCTGAGACCCCCAAAACCCACAGGCAGGTGTTGGGGGGTTGAATGCTGCCTGTTTTCCCAGAGTGTCAAGGGCCACAAGAGTCCCTCGAGTGGCTCCTGGCTGTTCCCAGTCACTGTGTGAGCCCTTAGCACCTTTCCTGGCCCATGGCACCCTCTTGACTCAGCTCCTTATCATGGTTGAGGGTTTTTTGGGAAGCAGAGCCACTGGCTCCAAGTTGGCACATGGGAACGTGCAATGTACCTCCTGTTCCCAGCAAAGTGTCACCCCTTGGAGCTGTGACCCCTCCTTCCTTCCCACCCACGGCAGTGATTTTGGGGACAGCATGGAGTTTGTAGCTCTGGAAAGATCAAATCAACTTCCAGGGGTCTCTTTTTCCCCTCCCAGGCACGCTGCTTCCCTGATTTTCGGCGCAGCACTTGGAAGTGGACCCAGAGCTGATGTGGGGCAAGAGAAGCTGGAATGGATGGGAAAAGGGAGAGGATGGGGATGGGGGGAGCTGGAGCAAGGGGATTGTGGTGTCCATGGATAACCCAGGGCTTGGTTCCCACTGGGGACGTCACAGTCCCTCTGTCCCCACCTGCCCGGGGACTCTCCTGAAGGTCTGGAAGTGCAGAGGTTGCTCCTCACCCTCTATCCTCCAAACTGGGGGGGCACAGGTGGGGACAGTGGGAGGGCACAGGTGGGACAATGTAAGGGCACAGCTGGGGACAGTGGGAGGGCACAGGTGGGGACAGTGGGAGGGCACAGGTGGGGACAATGGGAGGGCACAGGTGGGACAATGTGGGGGGCACAGATGGGGACAGTGGGAGGACACAGATGGGGACAATGGGGGGCACAGGTAGGGACAATGGGAGCATGGTGTGCAATTGTGCTGCTGCACCCCGTCTTTGATCCCTCCTGAACTCCTCTCACCCCAACCTGAGGGATTCCTCTCCCCACCCTGCACCCCACAAGGGGACACCCCTGGGACACCGTGTCCCTGTCCCCAGCACCCAGAAAAGGCAAGAACACCACTTGGAGCCGGGGGCACAGGCTTTACTTTGTAGACAGAAGCAAATCCCAGAGCAAATCCCACTTTGTTTTTTATGGCGAGAGCAGTGGGAAAGCCGCAGTGCCAAGCGACAGTGGACGCAGCACCCTGTGGCAGGGTGGCTGCCCCCAGGATGGGAACGAGGTGGAGAGAGATTCCCGGGCATCCCGCCTGGAAGGCAGCGTGGGGGACAGTGACACCCCCATGTCCCATCCCACTGGGAGCCTCCTACACCCAGAACACGGGGACGGTGCTGCAGAGGATGTTGATGGTGGTGCCTAGGATGGAGCGGTCAGCCAGGGGCACGGCCTCGTCCCCATCGCCCTCATCCTGCGGGACAGAGAACGGAGCAGGGGCCGCCACCCTCGGCAGCCGCAGCGTCCCCTCCACAGGGGACAAACCCCCGCCCCACATTTCCCAGGATGCAGGGCTTGGGCTGCGCTGAGCCCGGAGCGGCTGCACCCCCGTCCCAGCGGGGTGGTCGCCACTCACCTGCCGGCGCTGGAAGCTCTCGGTGACCGCGTCCAGCCCCGGGAAGTTGTCCTTGTCCACTCGGGTGATGTAGCAGGCGCGGTGACGCCAGGACCTGTAGCCGACCAGCAGCTGTTTGCAGACAGAGCCGGCTCAGCTCAGCACCGTCCTGTCCCCATCGCGCCCGTCCCCAGGTCCCCTCGCACCTTGCTGTACTCGAACACCACCGTGGCGGAGGCGTTGAGCCCGTCCCGCACCGCGAACGTCCCGGTCCTTTCCTTCTTGCTCATGGCGAGCTGCTGGGGGGTCCCCTCACCATCCAGCCCGTGGATGGTCATTCTCAACACCTGCCATGGGGGAGAGGGCTCAGGGAGCTCCGCGGGGGCCGAGCTCCGTCCCTATGGAGCTGGCGTGCTCCCGGAGCCACTGGCACCGCGGTCCCCTCCTGCCCTCACCGTCTCGGCGTGTGACTCGCTGAGGTGCAGCCCCAGCAGGAGGAAGGTGATGTTGACCACCACGAGGGCCACCACCACGAGGGCCACCAGCAGCAGGAGGCTCCTGAGCTCGTTGGGGATGCAGGGCAGGCGCGGGGACTCCGTGTACCTCTGTTGGGGACACAGGGGGACGCCCGGCTGAGCCGCCGGGGGTGGCAGCGGGGCTCAGCCCCGCGCCCAGGGTGGGTGATGGGTGCTACTTACCGGAGGTGCCTCCTCCATCAGCGCCTCTTTGGAGCTGTCGTCCATCTCTCCGTGTGCTCCCGTCCCTTTGCTAGCCCGCAGCCGCGGGCATTTATAGGATCTCGAGTGGCCGGGGAAGGCTGGGGCCACTCCAGCTGCCGAGGTGCCACTTGTGCTGTTTGCTGAGCCCCGAGAAGAGCCAGGGAGGGGACACAAAACCTCCGAGGGCCCTTCCCTGGCATTTGTCCGGCAGCGGTGGAGGTGCCAAGGCAAACAGTGGGCAGTGTCCGCCCTCCACACCCAGCCCCGGGCTGTGGCAGGAGGGGCCCCAGCACCCCAGCACGTTCCCGGGGCGGGGGGCCTGCACCCCTGGTTCTGCACGGGCAGCTGTGCGTGCCCCCCCCGGGGCGGGGAAGGAGCTGGCTGCACTCATTGTTCCCGGGGCCTCCGTGCCAGGGACGGCGCAGATGGCATGGGAGAGATGGGTGCCTGGGACGGACGGGTGCCCGGGCTGGCGTGGATGGGTGCCCGGGGTGCTGCAGCTACGGCGGGCGCGGGCAGCGCCGAGGCGGGGGAGGCACTGCAGGGTGTCACCCCCGCCCTGTACCCCCAGTTCTGCGCACCCCGAGAGCCGCCGGTGGAAGCGGAGTGGAAGCCCGGGTGTGCTCGCTGCCAGGGACACGCGCGCACGGACACGCGTGCACGGGGATGCTGGCGCTGTCACTCAGCCGCATCCCTCCCTCCTTCCCTCCTTCCCTCCCTCCGTCCCTCCGTTCCTCCCTCCCGCAGCAACGGGCATGCTGTGCTGCAGAGCCGCGGGTCAGGCGCCCGCAGCCTCCGCCGCTTCTCCTCCACACTGACATCCCCAGGGAGAAAAAAATTTAAAGAAGGCTTTTCCACAGCTCCCGGACACAGCGGCGCTGGGAGCAGCTCCCGGGATCAAACGGGGATAAGGCCAGGGAGCGATGGAGCTGCGGCGAGGGAGGAGGATGCTGAGGGACCAGCTTCCTGCTCGCCTCCTCCTCCTCCTCGCCGTGGCCTGGCTCTGGCTGCCGGCGGAGGGGCGGCGCCCCCCCCGGCCTCCCCCTTGCCCCCCGACCTGCTCCTGCACCCGGGACACGGCTTTTTGCGTGGACTCCAAGGCTGTGCCCAAGAACCTTCCCCCGGAGGTCATCTCGCTGTGAGTATCGGGGGTGGGGACAGGGATGGGGACAGCGTCACATCCCAGGAGTGCAGGGCTGGCAGGGGCTGCTGGCTGTCCTGGAGGGGCAGAGACACCCCGTTTGTGCTGCACAGGGGGACAAACACGTGGCAGGGCGGGGTTCGGTCAGTGTGGGGGGCTCTGGGGCGAGGAGGAGGCTGCGGACAGCCCAGGACCTGTATGTGTGTTCTGCGGCGCTGGCACACGCAGCCATCCATCAGTGCCAGGCAGAGCAGGGCTGCAGCCTGTCGCTGCCGCGACCTTGGGGACCAGAACTCCCACGGAGACACGGCTGTGACCCTGGGGACCAGAATCCCCAGGGGACACGGCTGTGACCTTGGGGACCGCAGCCCCAGGGGGACACGACTTGGGGGGGTGGTCCTGATGGAGGGTCACTGGGGACACGGCTGCTTCCCGGAGCCTGGCACAGGGGCGTGTGGCAGATGTGGGTGTTTACACCTGTTTGTATGTGCTTACACACACGTTCTGTGTGTGTTACACCTGTTTATATGTGCTTACACAACCGTTTGTGTGTTACACAACTGTTAGTGTGTGTTTCACCTGTGTGTTACACCTGTGTGTGTGTGTTACACCTGTGTGTGTGTGCTTACACACCCGTTAGTGTGTGTTACACCTGTGTGTGTGCTTACACACCCGTTACTGTGTTAAACCTGTGTGTGTTACACCTGTGTGTGTGCTACACCTGTGTGTATGTGCTTACACACCCGTTCTGTGTGTATTACACCCGTGTGTAAGTTACACCCGTGTGTATGTGCTTACACACCCATTAGTGTGTGTTTACACCTGTGTGTATGTGTTTACACACCCATTAATGTGTGTTTACACCCGTGTGTGAGTTACACCCGTGTGTATTTGCACATGGCCCAGGGCCAGGGGCTGCAGCAGGCCGTGGGCAGCCTGCGGTGGGTGCCAGCCCCCTGCACCTCGTCCCCTCCGTGTCCCCGCACGGGGCAGGGGCTGCTGGGGTCCCTGCGGACCCCTCGTGGGCTGCCCCGGCAGAGGACAGACCCCAGCAGGTGACCCAGAGCCCGTGTGGGGGACACGGGGGTGGCAGTGGCAGAGGACAGACCCCAGCCGGCGACCCAGAGCCGGGGTGGCAGTGCCACCGTCCCCTCGGCTGAAGCTCCGTCTCTCCCGCAGGACGATGGTGAACGCGGCCTTCACGGAGATCCGCGAGGCAGCTTTCGCCCACATCCCGTCCCTGCAGTTCCTGTAGGTGTCCCGTGCCCCCGGCCCCCGGAGCTCCCCTCGCTGCCCCCCGCCCAGCCCGGCGCTGACGCCTCCCCCCTCTCTCTCTGCAGCCTCCTCAACTCCAACAAGTTCACGCTGATCGGGGACAACGCCTTTGCCGGGCTCTCGCACCTGCAGTACCTGTGGGTGACACGGGGACACGGGGACGGGGAGGGCGTGGGGATCCTCGGGATGGTCCCGTCACAGTCTGCTCCCGTTCCAGGTTCATTGAGAACAACGACATCCAGGCGCTTTCAAAGGCCACTTTCCGCGGCCTCAAGTCCCTGACGCACCTGTGAGCACCTGGGGGACACTGCGGGGTTGGCCCTGTCCCTTTGTCACCGTCAGGGACATGTCACCTCCACAACCCTTCTTGTCCCCCAGGTCCTTGGCCAACAACAACCTGCAGACGCTGCCACGGGACCTCTTCAAGCCGCTGGACATCCTGAGTGACCTGTGAGACTGCCACAGCATCGGGGACCCCCGGGGACACAGGGCTGGGGACAGGGTGACATCCCAGGGGCTAGGGCAGGGTGCCGTGTGCTGGCAGGGGCCCCCAGGACACTGAGCTGGGGGCAGGGTGACATCCTGGTGGGCGCTGGGGGTGACCCGGTGCCATCCCTGGCAGGGACCTCCGTGGCAACACGCTGGCCTGTGACTGCAAGATCAAGTGGCTGGTGGAGTGGCTGGAGAACACCAACACCACAGTCCCTGCCGTGTTCTGCAGCAGCCCCGGGCAGTTCGAGGGACAGCGGATCCGGGACCTGGCGCTCGGTGACTTCCAGTGCATCACCACAGGTAAGGCGCCACAGTCACCTGTCACACGTCACCTCCGTCCTGGGTGTTCACACCCTCACTGCCGCCTCTCCCTGCTCCAGATTTCGTGATGCACCAGGTCCTGCCCTTCCAGGCGGTGTCAGCCGAGCCCTTCACCTACGCCAGTGACCTGTACGTGGCCCTGGCACAGCCAAGCTCCAGCAGCTGCTCCATCCTCAAGTGGGACTATGTGGAGCGCAAACTCCGCGACTTCGACCGCATCCCCGGTGAGGAATTGGGTTTGGAGTCCCCTCCTGGGTGGGCAGCCCATTTGGGGTGACCCGGGGCGGGCTCAGCCCCGGCGTGACGCGGTTTTGTCGCCAGCTCACTCGGCAGTACACTGCAAGCCCATCGTGGCACAGGAGCAGCTCTACGTGGTGGTGGCGCAGCTCTTTGGTGGCTCCTACATCTACCGCTGGGACACGGCCGTGGACAAGTTCATCAAGATCCAGGACATCGACAGCCAGAAGATCCGCAAGCCCAACGACATCGAGGCCTTCCAGATTGAGGGCGACTGGTACTTTGTTATCGCTGACAGCTCCAAGGCGGGTTCCACCAGCCTCTACCGCCTCAACCAGAATGGCTTTTACTCCCACCAAGCCCTCCACGCCTGGCACCGCGACACCGACGTGGAATACGTGGAGAACGACGGGAAACCCCGGCTGATCATCTCCAGCAGCTCCCAGGCCCCTGTCATCTACCAGTGGAGCCGGGCACAGAAGCAGTTCGTGCCTCAGGGCGAGGTGGGCGAGATGCTGGATGTGCAGATGGTCAAGCACTTCAGGGCCAAACGGGACCAGTTCCTCTGCCTCAGCCGCTACATCGGTGACTCCAAGGTGGTGCGCTGGGAAGGGCAGCGCTTCGTGGAGGTGCAGACGCTGCCATCCCGCGGCTCCATGGTGATGCAGCCCTTTGCCGTGGGGCAGCGGCAGTACCTGGCGCTGGGCAGCGACTTCTCCTTCACCCACGTGTACCTGTGGGAAGAGGAGAAGCAGAAGTTCGCCAAGTTCCAGGAGCTGTCGGTGCAGGCGCCGCGGGCGTTCCGGGCGGTGCCGGCGGCCGACGTGCAGCTGCTGCTGGCGCCCAGCTTCAAGGCCAACACGCTGGTGTACCGGCACGTGGTGGTGGACCTCAGCCTGTAGCCGGGGAGCCGCCAGACATGCATGTGCCCACCATCCCTTGCTCCCTCCCTGGGCACTCCCTGTCCCAGCCCTCCACCTTCACCCAGCCTCACGGTGCCTCAGTTTCCCCACGGTGCTCCCGGTTTCACCCTGTGGCATGCAGGGAGGGAGGAGGGGATGGGTGGGGGGGGCGGTCTTTGTCTGCTCGAGCCATGGGCTGGGAGCTGGTGGCAGGAAAGGAGGGGGGATGGCGGGCAGGGATGTGGGAGGAGGGATGGGGGGTTCCCAGGACCCTGAGGGACTTTGGGATGCTCCAAAGTGGATGGGATGGCCAAGGTGGGTGGGGTGGGATGCCCCAAGGATGATGGGATGCTCCAGGATGCTCCGAGGTGGATGCAGATGGGATGCTGAGGATGATGATGGATGCTCCAAGACCAGCGGGGTGCTCTGAGGTGGATGCAAGATGGGATGCTGAGGATGATGATGATGGATGCTCCAAGGACGATGGGATCTTCCAGGATGCTCCAAGATAGATGCAGATGGGATGCTGAGGATCATGATGGATGCTCCGAGGACGATGAGATGCTCCAGCATGCTCTGAGGTAGATGCAAGATGGGATGCTGAGGATGATGATGGATGCCCCAAGGATGATGGGATGCTCCAGGATGCTCCAGGATGCTCTGAGGCGGATGCAGATGGGATGCTGAGGATGATGATGGAAGCTCTGAGGACAATGGATGCTCCGAGGCGGATGCTGATGTGATGCCCCGAGGACAGCACAATGCTCCAGGCCAGCAGCTCCTGCCCCTCTCCGTGCATGTCCAGCAGCTCCCCGTGCCCATGGCCCCGCTGCCAGGCAGGACCCAGCGTGCCCGGAGCGTCCGTGCCCACCAAAACCCCCCAATAAACACACTGTGACCCCCAGCTCTGCCCTTGTGTCCTTCCAGCCACGGCGTGCCCGCCCTATCCCGCATTCCATGGCACCAGCGAGCGGGAATTCCTCATTTCAGGGTGCTCCAGGCCCCGCAGACGGGGTTTTCTCCAGCAGAAACCTCGGCCCACTGTGAGGGTGGGAAGCAGGAGGTGTTTCCCCAGGGAGGGGAGTCCCCACTGGACTGGTTTTCCAAGGGGAGCTCTTCCCTGGCTCCCAGGTGTATAAATATGCATGTGAAAAACCACCAATTAAATATCAAATAAAGATCCTCTCGCGGGTAACAGGCACCTCTGGGGCATGGATGGGTTTGAGGAGCAGGATGGCTTCTCCCAGGGCATTGCCACGTGTCCCTGCCTCAGTTTCCCTGGCAGAAAAAAACGGATTTGAAAGCACAGGGAAGATTCTGGTGCTTCCATGGAGGCCATGACGGGGATGGGGAATCTGGGAAAGCCTGGATCAGTCTTGGGGCTACAGTGCCAAGGGGGAGGTGGCCCAGAGAGGCGATTCAAGCAGCTTTTATTTTCCTCAGGAGCATCTTTCAGGGCTCCACTGCAGTGGAGTGTTCTGCATCGTCCATCAGAGCACCAAAAAAACATCATGTCCCCTCCAGACCAAAAAAATTATTCTTTAACATCAGTCAAAGAAGCTCTCCCATCCCTTCCCTACCTGTTAACTGCTTTAAAAATTGTATGTTTAAATATAGAAATATATATATATATATATGAGAAATAATTTTTATGTCTTAGGGAATATTTAATATTTGTTTTATATCCATATACAGGGTATTAACATATTAACATTTGATATGTTAATATAGTACTATTCAATACATTAGGAGCATTTTAACCACTACATTTTTAGGTATGTTTAGGAAAGGCCATTTAGGGAATTTTTAAAATGTTTTTATTTTATAAACATTTTATTTTATTTTTGATGTGGAGACCGCGCCACACTTTTAAGGGGCTCTGTTGCCCTTTTAAGGGCATTGCCCCTTTAAGAGATTGTGTTGCCCTTTCAAGCGCATTGCCCTTTTAAGAGCGGTTGGTGGGGCCCGCGCCGCGCCTGCGCGCCTGGGTTGCTGCAAGTTTCAAGTTTTCGGATTCCCTGCCTCGGGGTTCGGGGGAAATTTGGGGGGGATTTGGAAATTCCAGGGGGGCACAGCACCCACCCTCCCGCCCGGCACTGCCGGGGCCTTCAGCCCCGGCCGCACCATGGTGTCCTGGATCCTCAGCCGGGTGATTGAGTGAGTGGGGTCCGGGCGGTAACGGGGGAGGGGCTGCAGGGCCGGGGGGGGGGGGGGGGGCACAGGGACCCCCGATCCCCTGTCCCCCCTCCTGGGGTCCCGTTAATGGGGTTCCCCGTGCTGGGCCCGCAGCGGGGGCTCCTCGGAAAGGCCCCGGGCGGGGTTTGGGGGGGCGATCTCAGGTTTCTTATATGGGGGTGACCAGCACCCCCCTCCCCCCCAAACATGCTACTCCCCGAAAATGGATTCCTGAGCAGCTGCTGGGGGGGTGAGCACGGCCTGGGGTCCCCCTGCATCCCCCATGGCCCTGGAGGAGCCCCTGTACCATCCCAGGGGGTCGCTGCTCAGAGGGTCCCCACATTGCCTGGGCTCGCAGGAGGTCACCGGGACACGAGGTTTGGGGCTGGTGGCACCTCACTCGGTGCCCGGGGACCGGACCGAGCCCGCAGGGACCGAGCCCGTGTCCTGCCACCGCCCCCTGCCCTGCCCCGACAGGTCGGGCCGGTCCCGTGGACGTGGGAGTGACACTGTGCTCATGGCTGAGCCTCCCCGGAGGATCCCGGAGCCTTTTCCCGGCCTCTCCGGGCTCGGGATGGTGCTGGAGGGGGTCAAGGCCAGGGTCCGGCGCTGGGGCCGGCAGCTGTGCTGGTCCCTGTTCCTGCTGCTGTACGCGGGGTGGCCGCGCTGCCTCACCCCTCCTCTGCCTTACAGGCTGCTCTTCGGGATGCTCTACCCGGCCTATGCCTCCTACAAGGCTGTGAAGACGAAAAACATCCGAGAATACGTGAGTCAAGTGCCTGGGGAGCCCTTCCCCGGGGCCCCAATCCCCTCCTTCCCCAGGGTCCTGTCCCCTCCTTTCCCAGTCCTGTCCTTTCCCAGTCTCCAGCACCCTTTTCCCAGTCTCCAGTCCCTGTTTCCCATGCTCAAGTCCCCTCTGATGGCCCCCCATGGCTCTCCCAGGTCCGATGGATGATGTACTGGATCATCTTCGCTCTCTTCATGGCCACAGAGACCTTCACTGACCTCCTCATTTCCTGGTGAGGCTGGCCTGGGACTCTGGGTGTCCCCATGTCCCCAGAGTTGATGTGTGGGGGGAACAGGAGGTGCCTTTGGACTCCCCCCCATCTCCTGCCTGTCTTGGCCAGGTTCCCCTTCTACTACGAGGTGAAGATGGCCTTTGTCATCTGGCTGCTGTCCCCGTACACGCGGGGGGCCAGCCTGCTCTACCGCCGCTTTGTGCACCCCACGCTGGCCCGCAGGGAGAAGGTACAAAATTCCTGGGATTTGGGGGGTCCTCCCTGCCCAGCCTGGGGGGTTCAGCCCTCTGAGTTGGGATGGTGATGCCTCAGGGAGGTGACAGTGCACTGGGAGGTGACAACACCCAGGGATGTGGTGATGTCCTGCGGAGTGACAGTGTCCTGTGATGTGGTGATGTCCTAGGGGGTAACAGTGCCCAGGGATGTAGTGATGTCCTGGGGGGTGACAGTGCCGAGGGACATTGCAGTGCCCTGGAGGTGACAGTGCCCTGTAACATGGTGATGCACTGTGGAGGTGACAATGCTCAGGGACATGGCATTGCCCTGGGAGCTGACAATGACCAAGGGACACTGTAGTACCCCAGGATGGTGATGATGCCCAGGCTTCTTGTGATGTCCCTGGAGGTGACAGTGCCCTGTGACATGGTGATGTCCTGGCGGGTGACAGTGCCCAGGGATATTGCAGTGCCCCAGGATGGTGATGATGCCCAGGCTTGTTGTGATGTCCCTGGGGGTGACAATGCCCAGGGACTTGGTGATGCCTCAGAACATGGTGATTTCCTGGGGAGGTGACAATGCCCTGGGAAATGACAATGCCCAGGGACACTGGGAGGACCCTGGGAGGTGACAGTGCTCCAGGCCAGCACGCTGCACTCCCAGCACCACCCCCTCGTCTGTCTCTCAGGACATCGACACGTTCCTGGTCCAGGCGCGTGAGCGCGGCTACGAGACCATGGTGCGCTTTGGCAAGAGGGGCCTCAACCTGGCAGCCACCGCCGCCGTCCAGGCGGCCACCAAGGTACCCGGGGAGGAAACCCCACCCCAGCAAGGTGACAGGAGAGGGAGATGTCCCCTGGATTGGGGTCTGACTGTCCTGTCCGCTCTGTGTCCCCCACTGCAGAGCCAGGGCGCGCTGGCCGGGCGGCTCCGCAGCTTCAGCATGCAGGACCTGCGCTCGCTGCCCGAGCAGGTCCCCGTGCACTTCCAGGACCCGCTGTACCTGGAGGAGCAGGAGAGCCTCCGGCAACCCCTGGGTGAGGAGCTGGGGGTCACAGCGAGGGGGGCCTGCAGCAAAGCCCATGGTGGCCGTGCTGGAGCTGGCTTGTCCCCCCTGTCCCCAGCCTACGGCACCGGCCGCCGCTACGAGAGTGACACGGACGATGAGGAAATGTGGTCGGACTCGCAGTTGTCCCCCCCAGCGCCGCCACGCCGGGATCCCAAACCCCTGTCCCGCAGCCAGAGCCTGCGATCCCTGAGGAAGAACCCAGGAAAGGAGGTGCCGTGGGAGGGGGACACGAGGTGGGTGTGTGGGGCTGCGTGAGGGGGTCCTGACCCGTCCCTGTCCCTGCCCAGGTCTCCTCCCGGCTCCTGCGCAGCCGAGCCAAGAGAAAAGCGGCCCTGTCGGAGCAAGACAGCTAAAAATCCCGGGAAACCTCTGCCAGGAGGCTGGAGAGGAATTTGCTGCTGCATCAGGAGGGAGCTGTGGCTCCTGCATCCCTGGGGATCCTCACTCTGTAAATCCCTTCCGTGACCTCTGTGGTGCCTCGAGGAGGGGGGAGCAGCTCATCCCCCCTCCCCAGACCCCCCAGCTTGGCGCTGGCGCCTCTCAGGTGGGGTCTGGCCCCTCCTTTTCCCCCATCCTGTGAGCACTACACGCTCCCCCTCTCTCCTGCTGCCATGGTGCCTTATTCCAAACATTCCCGTTGCCCTGGGAGCCAGGAGTGGATGTGCTTTGTCCCTCTGAAGCCAAAGGCATGACTCAGACACAGACTGACACCCGGAGCGCCGGGCAGCACACGGCTTTTAACATTCCCCTCTCCCAAAAAGGGGGTCTTGTACATGGAGAAATAAAGGTTGTTTCACACTTTGGTGCTGTCCCCTTCCACAGGAAGCTTCCTGAGATGTTTTTTTTCTCTTGGAGGAAGCTCTGGAATCCATCTGAGACTCCTCCAGGGCCTCTCCCGGAGTCTTTTCACCCCTGTTCCAGGATCCCAGGCAGCAGCCCCAGACTCCTCCAAGAAAGCTTCCTGAGCCTTTTTCCTTTGGAGGAAGCTGAACCCTCAGGGATCCATCCAAGGCTCCCTCCAGGCATCTCCCAGAGCCTTTCCCCCATATTTGAGGTTCCAGAATCCCGGATAACATCCCCAAACTCCTCCAGGGAAGCTTCCTGAGATGATTTCCTCATTTGGAAGGAACTCCATCCTTGGGAATCCATACCGTGCTCCTCACGGGCATCTCCCAGGGTCTTTTGCCACCCGTTTTATGTTCCCTGAGGCCGCCGGTGGCATTCCCAAACTTCCCGGGATCCCTGCAGTAGCCGCATCCCCCACGGCGTGGCAGCAGCAGCCTCGGCCCCTCCGGGACACCCGGGATGCAGCCGGACATCCCTGGCCCGTCCCCTCGCCCACCGGGAATCCCGACTCCTTCCCGGGGGCGGCTCATCCCCCACCCGGCCAGGCGGCAGGGGGGTGGCACAAGGTGACTGTCGCCTCCTCCTGCCGCCCGCGTGTCCCACGGTGCCCCTGGCATCAATCCCCTCGCTCCCAATCCTCCCTGCCCTCGCCCCTGGGGCCAGCTGTATTTTTAGCCCTTGGCTGCCGCCCGATTTCGGGGGTCTTCCCAGGGCAGCAGCCCCGGCCTCTGGGCAGGCCGGGCTCGGCGGGGCGGCCCGGGGCAGGCAGGGGTGTTGGAGCAGATTAGGTGGAGGTGGCTGGATTAGCCCCGTAAAACTGCCTGCGAGACGATTACTTAAAGCAGCGGAGAAGGAAGGGCTGGGTGGGGACAGCGAGGGCCAGGGGGCTGCCTGTAATCCCCCTAAAGCCGCTTAGGCAGCGCGGTTCCTCCAAGGATACGGCCCAGGGAGGCTGCTGAGGCGAGCTGGGGGTCAAAGCGGGGGTTCTTCCGTCTTGGGGTGCTCCCAGGTGTGCTGAGAGGGGGGCAGCAGCGCTGGAGCCTCGGTGTTGTGTCCCCAGGGTGCGGGTTCAGGGATTCCCAGCTTGGGGAAACTGAGGCACGACCCCAGCGCCTTCCAAAGGGGGAAAAGTGGGGTTATGGGAAGGAACAAAGAGTTTTGGTGTCCTGCTTTGGTAAATCCGTGCGTCCCCCAGGGGCTGAAACCCAAGGAGGGGGCAGGAGCCGGGCGGGGTGGCACAGCCCGTCCCCCCGGGGCCGAGGCAGCTCCGGCGGTGCCAGCGCTGATCCCAGCTGTGTCAGCGCACGGGCCAGTGCCAGGCTGCATCAGCAAAGCCCTAATCCCCCCCGGCTCGCCTGGCACCGCCCCAGCACCGCACTTTAAGCGCCTGACCTGAGCTCGCCCGCTGCCACAGTCCCCTCCGGGGAGGGGGTGCCAGGCTGAGCCGGGGCTGGCACCGCTGTGGGGACCCCCTGTGCCCCCCCGGGCAGGGTTTGGATCAGTGGGGTGGGGGGACGGTGGGGCTGGGGGTCTGTAGGAGGTGACAGAATGGAGGGGGCTCAGGGGCTGCATCCCCAGCCGGTTCAGGGAGGGGATTCTCCCCCTCTGCTCTGCTCAGATGAGACCCCACCTGCAGCTCGGGGGTCCCCAATATCAGAGGGAGCTGGTGGAGCAAGTCCAGAGGAGCCGCGGGGATGCTCCGAGGCTGGAGCCCCTCTGGAGCCGGGCTGGGAGAGCTGGGAATGTTCACCTGGAGAGGAGAAGGATCCAGGGAGAGCTCAGAGCCCCTTGCAGGGCCTGAAGGGGCTCCAGGAGAGCTGGAGAGGGACTGGGGACAAGGGATGGAGGGACAGGACACAGGGAATGGCTCCTTGCCTGCATCCTTGGGAGCTGGCAGGGGAGCTGGTGACGCAGAGCTGCTCCCTCTGCCAGCGCACAGGGACGCGGCTGATGCTGTGATGCAAACCCCGGGCCGTGGTGCCCCCGGGCCGGGCACTGCCCGTTCCTGGAGGGCAGCAGCTGCAGGAGCCGGTGCCCGGGGGTGCCACGGCCGGGAGTGGCAGCCGCCCGTGGGTCTCCCCCGGGCAGTGCGGTCTCAGGGAAATTGGGGTCATTACTCCCGAACGGGATTTACCTTCTCCGGCGAGCTGCTGGGTACTTGGGGTGCCAATCCTGCACTCCCAGCATCACCCTCACCCCCCCCGCCCCCCCCCGCCGTGCTGCTGTCGGGGCTGGGAGCAGACTGAGCCCCCCCAAACCCACCCTGGTGACACCGAGTGACATCCAAGCTCCTGCACACCCCCCCTCCTTCTCTGCCCCATTCCCGGCTCATTTCACCCCACTGCACCAACCCGCTGCGACGCTCCTGCCACGCCTGGGCTGCCCTCAGCAGCCTCAAACCGGCTGTTTGGGGGTCCCAGGTGAGGCTGTGACCCCCCTGATCCCCACGGGGCTCCCCCCACGGCTGTCCGCTGCCTGAGTCAGCTGTTCGGGGCGGGAGCCATGTGAGGCCGCGCACACATGGCTCCCCGCGCGGCACCGCGCTGTATTTTTAGCAGACGGTATCAAAAGCATAATTATGTCTGTTGTTTAAACGCAGCCTCTTTCCTGGCAGCCCCGGGAGCTCTCAGCTGCCTCCCGCCGCAGAGGGCAGGGAGGGCGGCATGAGGAACCGCGGGCGGGGGGATGAGACTCTCCCCCCCTCTCTCCCCAGCGCTGCCGTGCAGGTAAAACCTCCCCTCCTCCATCTGGGGGGGCTCCTGCTGCGCCCCCACACCGCGCCCTCAAGCGCGCACATGCCCCCGGGCTGCCGGTGAGCCGCTGGTGAGGATGAGGAGGAGGAGGAGGAGGAGGAGGATGGCGAGGAAGAGGATGACGGGTGGGAAGCGCGGCGGTGGCGGGAGGGGTCGGGAAAAGGGCGTTCGAGGTGACGGGAGTGTGGGAGGACACGGCTGAAGGAACGCTTCTGCATCCCCCCGCTCCTCCCCGCAGCCGCCTGTCCCCCCGGGGACCCGTCTGTCCCCAGCCAGCCCGCGCTGGCACCGAAGAAGGCTCCCGCTCCGCGTCCCTGCCGTGACACCACGGGCGTCGGGCTTGAGGATTTTTGGGGAGCGCGACCCCCAGGCTCGCGGGGAGCCGGGCACCACCTTCAGGGCGTGCTGGGGACCCCGCTCTGGGAACCGCGCAGCATCTCCGGCCACCGCGGGAAACTGAGGCAGAACATTTCCAGCCGCCAAGGGAAACTGAGGCAGCGAGCAGGGGCTGCTCATCTCTCCTGCCCCGTGTCCCTGCGCCGGGATCCGTGTCACCGCATCACCCGCCCATCACCACGGCTCTCCGTCGGCGGGGCACCCTGGGAGGGACCCGGGCTGCAGACAGGAGCCCCCGGCCGCTGCCAGGTGGGTGCTGCCAGGAGCGCGGGCGCTGCCAGCCCAGCCTGTGCCGCACGCAGGTGGCAGCGGGCTGCCCGTGTCCCTGGCTGCCGTCCTAAGCCCTTGGCCCCGGGGGCGAGCTTTTAATTACATCAAGGTATTTGATGCCGGTTCCTGGCGCTGGGTAAACAGGAGTCCCGGGCACGTGGAGGGGGGGCCGGGGGGTGGCACAGGACGGGCACCGTGCCCCGGCACCGGGGCTTGCCGGGACGGCTCGTCCTCCCCCGGGGCGGGAAGGAGAGATGCGGGGACGGCGGCATCCGGCAGCATCCATCACCTCCGGGTCGTCCCGCGGCCCCCCCGGCATCCCCCGGCCGCGCTCGGGGCTGGCACAGGCACATGGGGGACACCGGCAAAGGTGGGACACGGCTGCGACATCCCGCGGTGCCCTCTGACGGGGACCAGCCGCTCCTTCTGCTCGCTCCGTCCGTCCCTAGCTTCACCGTGAGGCACAGGGGAATGGACGGCCCGGGCTGGGCAGGGAGCGCTGGGGGTGCCGGGGGGCAGCCCCAGCCCCGGGGGGAGCGGCTCGTGTGCCCCCGGCAGCCAAGCGAGCGGGATTAGCGATGCTTACTCACCTCCCTGGGGAAAAGCGGGAGATTAGGGTCGGGAGAAGTGTCCGACCCTGCGGCGGCGGGGCCGGACGGGGCCGTGAGGCTGTCCGGGATCGGCACCGGGACCGGGGAGGTTGCCCAGGCCCCGCCGCACCGGCAGCCAGGGCTGGAGGGGAGCGCAGGCTGCCAGAGCAGTTGGGCTGTGGCCCTAATTCCCAGAAAGCTGCTCGTGTGGGAGTGAGTGTCCTCCCGTGCCCTCCGCTCCGCCGCAGCCTTCAGACTCCTGAAGGTTTGACGTGGGGTTTTTTTCCTT